AAAGTGTTTTGTTTGCAGGTGCTAAAGGACAACTTATGTGTATCAGTTCCATCAGACTGCTTTATACACCTGCACACATCTCTTCTCTGAATGAAGCCTTTTGGGTTTTATACTAAAATGTATCCTGGTGCAGGAAGCACAGCTTTAAAAAGCTCCCTTGTTTTTGCAGGGAACAAAACTTTCCTGTCAACCTACTACGGAGGGAAAACAAGATCTGTTAGTGCAGTGTAAATCTACAGGATCTGTCCTGGGATACAGTACTGTGTAGTGACTGCTGTGAAGTAATGTTCACAGAACACACAGAATGACAAGGCTGGAAGAGACCTTCAAGATCATCGAGTCCAACCCAGAGCTGGGTTACCCCATACAGTTTTGAACTAAAAATGGAAGCACTACACATCAGCATTCACAGTCCCGTTGTGGTGACACAGAAGTGAGAAGCAGCTGTACATGAGAATGGAACAGGAATGGTGATTGTAGCTCTTCGCTGTCAAATCACTCTTGCTGAGTTGTTCCAAGTAAGCCCTAAATTTACTAAGCAGAACCTGTATGGACAGTTTTTAGGGGCTGTCCATAGAGAAGGAGCAGACAGACAGCAGCAGGTACCTGGGTGCCTGACTCACCTGCAGGTGCTGGAAGCGGCTTTCGGAGGAGGCGAGGATCCCGGCTAACTGCAGGGTGAAGGCCAGGATGCTGGGGCTGGGGTCCGGCAGGGCCAGCACGGAGCTGATGAGCTCTGTCACACACGGGTTGTCCCGCACCAGCTCCACAGTGGGATCTGCCCAGGAGAGGCCAGAAAACAGCATGTCACTGCCAGGACTGTCCTGCCTCATTCAAGCAGTTCCCTGAGCTGAGCTAAGCCCTGCCAGCTGCTACAACTGATGAACTCGGGTGCACCCACAGCATTTTGAGGTGTCACAGCACCTCAGATTGTTGTGGATACATTCAAATCCCACCTGGGCACCTGTTCCCGTGTCACCCGCTCCAGGTGACCCAGCCTTGGCAGGGAATTGCGCTGGATGATCTCCGGAGGTCCCTTCCAACCCGCACTGTTCTGCGATTCCGTGACGGACCTCCGCTCGCCTCGGACCGGGCCCCGGCACTCACCGAACCACGTCAGGCTGCGGAACCAGTCCAGCAGCTTCTCCAGGCAGGTGTCGTCGAGGCCGGGCTGCCGCGGGTCGGCCAGGGCGGCGCAGACTCCGGGCAGCAGCACGGCGCACTCGCGGGTCATGGCGAAGCGGCGGCGGGCCCGGGCCACGAAGCGGGACTGGGGGTCACACATGGCTGGGACCACCGGGACCACCGGGACCGAGCCGGGCCGGCCCGGCCGCACCGCGAGTGTCGCAAAGGGGGCGTGGCCAGCGGGGGCGTGGCCAGCGGCCGGTCAGGGGGCGTGACCCCGGCGCGCTCCGGGGCAGCGGTGGCTGCGGGCCGGTACCGGTGGTGCGCGGGATGGCGTTGCGCCCTGGCCGCAGTTACCCCGGCTCTCTCAGGCAGAAGCTCCCGTCCTGGCAGTGGGGCAAAGCCCTCGCAGAGGCCGCTCCGCCGCCCGCCGGGGTTTCGCTCCCCGCGGGGCCGCTTGGTGTCACCCGCGCTCCGCGGCCAGGCCGAGCCCTCCCCCGGCACTGCCCGCAGGCGCGCCGCCGCTCTGCGCATGCGTCCCCGGCGCGGGCCGCGGGCGGTTGCCATGGTTACCGCGACCCGGAAGTGCCGCCGGGGGGCGATGGCCGCCCCCAGGCCCGGGCCGGCAGCCTCGGCCCGAGGGGGCCCCCGCGGCCCCGCCGCCCCGTGAGGCCTCCCCTCTCCTCTCCCACCATGGCCCTGGGGGCCGGCGAGGCGGCCGCGGAGGGGGAGCTGGTAAGGAGTGAGCGGCGGGGAGGAGGAGAAGGCCCCGGGTCTAGGCCTGCTTCGGCCCGGGCTCGGCTCAGGGAACGCTCCGGCGCGGCCGGGGCAAAACTTTGGGGCACCCCCGGGCTTGGCAGGCCGGCCAGACGGGGGCTCGGAGGGGGAGTGGGATGGCTTCTGCCTTCTCCAGCCCGCGGGACTCTGGGCTCTGCCTGTGGCTGCCCCGCAGCACGGCACAGACGTGAGAAAATCTGAAGCTGTGCTAAGGATGGTTTAGGTTGAACGTTAGGAAGAATTTCTTCACAGAAAGTGATTAGATATTGGAAAAGGCTGCTCAGGGAAGTGGTGGATTTACCATCCCTGGAGGTGTTTAAAAGAAAGAATGCTGGACATGGCACTCGGTGCCATGGTCTGGTTGGCAAGGTGGTGTCGGGTCAGAGGTTGGACTCGGTGATCTTAGAGGGCTTTTCCAACCTAGATAATTCTGTCATTCTCTGTTGGTATTTGTTTCCCTCCCCTCAGCAAGCAGCTGGAGGTTTTGAGCCCCTTTGGGAGCCCCCAGGTTCTGTTGTTGCCTGGTGCTGAAGGTTACCAAGCAATAGTGCTGGGGCTGTCACTGCATCTTTGTATTCTGGCCAATGTTTAGTTGTTACCATTTATCAAAGCTGGGCACTCTGCACATTGTCTGATTCCAAACATGATAGCTGCAGTTAGGGAGAGAGATATTTCAGAATGAGACGCCGTAAAATAACAAAATTAATCAGTGTGCTGCAAGGAGCATTGCCTCAGGAAATGAAAAACTGCATGGCCTGGTGTGTGAGGACACATCCCTGCCTGCTCTCAGCCAGCATGGCAGGCTCTTTAACCTGCTCTGTTGTCTGTCCTTGCTCCTGTTCTGCCAGCCAGGGTTTCCAAAAGTACTTCATCCCCTCCCCTGCCTCTTACAGACACTGATCAGCATCTGTCCAAAGATTGGTGCTGAGTGCCACAGAGTCAGCAGCAAGTGAAAAAGTTCTTTCTGTGAGGGCAGCATCCAGATAATTTGGAAGCTAAGTGGAAATTTTCCTTCATCTGTGGATGTGCTTGTATTTGAGAGGGAGAGAAATCTGTCATCTTCCTTGCATTTGGGGTTTCTTCCCTTGGCCTGAGCACGTTTCCATTCCAATACAGGAACTGAACAATCCCATAGCATAGCAAGGGTAGCACAGGTGAGGGAGGAGGGGTAGAGCTGAGCGAGTTGCAGCTTAAATGGTGGAGAAATTCATGCAGAGGCAGCTGCAGGTTCAGCTGGTGCAATGCCAAGTCTCTGTGACTCTAGGGCAAAGTGTCCCTGCTCATGGCACAGGGCTTGAAACTGGATGATCTTTAAGGTCTCTTCCAACCCAAAGCATTCTGTGATGGTTCATTTCTGAAGTGACTTTCACAATATCTCAAAACTATTTCTATTAAAGCAAATGATGCTGGCTGCAAGAACCCCACCATCTTCCAGTGGCTTTAGTGTTTTTGGAAAATGGCTTATTTTTGTCTTAAACAATTGACATTTTAGCAATGCAATGGAAGAGAAACAGAGGCTTTGCTCACAGTTTGAATTTATTGTGCTCCAGCTCTGTTGAACTGTTGAAGTTTCCTGGATGTGTATTGCAAGCAGTTGTTCAGTAGCAAATGTCCTGTCTTGTGTTTCCCAGGGAGATGAGAGCCTGTCTGTGATAACCTGTGAGTCAGACACAGCCATGGTGAGTTTGGATTAAAGCCCCAAAACCCCTCTGGAGTTTCTGCTCATCTGTGTGGTGCCTCCTGCTCACCAAGCACCCCTCAGAAAGGAGAGTGAACAGTGGCACTGCAGTGGGCTTGAGTCACAAACCTCTCATTTCAGGTGTAATTCTGGCTTCCACATTCTCAGCACTGGGGCTGCAGATGATGTTTGCTTTATTTTGCTGTTCTATCGAGTTGAGGGCTTCAGTAATCCTTTTAGAGATTACTTAAGGTTTAATGGAATTGAATAATTCCTTTAACTAAAAGGTTCTACAGATCAGCCTCTACTCTGGGATCATCTTGAATTTGATGCTACTCATGTTCTCATGCTTGTTCATGTTCTGAGCAAGAATTGGTAATTTATCTGTATAATCAGACTTCAGTTGGCACCACCTTAATTCTGGTCACCATTGCTGTGCCCAAATCTGCATATGCTTAATGTTATTATTTTTCTTTTTTATAGAAAAGGTTTTGTCTTATTAGAACAAAGGATCTTCATAGAAAATGGGAAACTGAAGGCAATTTTGAGATTATGTGATGAAATCTTAACAGCTGTGTATTTTCAATACAGAAAAAAAATATCCATTTCTCTTTCAGAAGTTAAAGAAAAAGATATTTCACAAGCCTCCAAAGTCACCAAGTAAGTGTTCCAAAACTTTTTATTCTTCAATTGCAAAACCTGGTATGTCTGTGGGATACAGGAACTGGGAACTTTATTTGAGACAACATCTTGTTATTCTCTTCAGAAATATTCATTGCTGTGTGCAGAGCACACCTGTTTGAGATCTGTAACCTGTGAAGTCCAGCTTGTATAGAATAAAATATTGATATTTATGTGTTTGTTTTAAATCTTGATTCTCCAGCATAATCTGCTTTTTTCTCATGCCCTGCCTTCTGATGGCAACCATTCTGAATTTGTTTTTCTCCTTGTCTTTTTGGAGAAATCCTGTTACTTGTTGTGTAGAGAGACTCTGGAATTACTGGAGCTCTCTACCATCCAATCATAGATTTCTGTGTGTGGATTTAGTGATTCTCTGTTTCATTTGTTGTGATGGGTTGCTTTGGTTTTTTGTTTTTTTTTTTTTCACAGTACAATGTTGTTATTATTATTAGATCCACAGTTTTAACATTGGGTTTGTCCTTTATTTCTGGGGTTTATGTTTTTTTGCTATGCTTTCCCATTTACCTTCCTTCACAGGCTTCTAATGAATGTTTCAAAGAAGGCTTTACCCTAAAGTGTTGTTTATAACAACATTTAGATGTGCAGGTATCTTAAAGATACCTAAACAAACTGTACACATAAATATTTCCACATGTGTTGAGTCATACTGCTGTCACTCTGCCTTTTTCTAAGTCTCTTCATTTTTTTGGAACTGTATTTTTTTATTTACAGTGGAGTTCTTTGGGTTTTGGGGGCTTGTTATGTGCCTGTTCCATTGCTCTGTGTAAGCCAATATGGAATATGCTGTTAAATTCTGTTTTTACAAGTAACAGGATTGAGTCTGGAAACTTTGAAGAACAAGACAACAAGAATTTTAGTAACCTTGAGCTTTTGAAGGCAGCACTGAAATATTTTCTTTTGCTTTAGAGTCTCCCTACAGCTCAAGCACACAACTGTATCCTAAAAAAGCTGCAGCTTGGAGATCTCTGCAGGGAACAAGCAGTGCTTGCTTTGAGAATGCAGCTGTTGAAAACCCAAGGCACATGTGGCTGGGATTTCTGAAGCAAGGTATTAGTATAGAAATATTGTTTGCATTTATGGATAAAATGCATTGTTGTGGACAGCTTAACATATAAACTATTAAAAAAAGATTTGTCTTTGATTAAAGGTTACGCAGGAATTAATTTCACTCTTATTTATTTGGGTGGTTAGAATTATCTGATATTGAGCATTGGCATTTATAGAGGGAATAATTAACAGCATCTGGAGCTTTCCATGTTGCATTTGTTCAGAATAATTCCAGAAATTTAATTCACAATTATCCCTGATTTTTGCATTTTTGTTCCATTTCTCTTGGCAGGAACGAGCCATGCTCTGAAATCAGATGTTGACACGGGGCATATGCGAGGAAATGTTTCCAGTAGCACTCCAGAATATTTGAAGGAGGCTCTAGGAATGAAAAAACCAAAACATGCTCGTTCTCCCAGTAATGGTAAGCTCTATAATGGTGTGGTAGATAAAATGGAATTATTTTTTCCCCTCTAAAAACACACATTGCTTAAGAAAAGCAAGAGCCATTTTAGTTTACTAAAATACGTGTGTGAAAATATGATCAATGAGATACTTTTTGAGATTCCTAAATTGGTTAAGGCAGGGATTTCCAATTTTTTTGAGCAATGAATCACTGTTAGCTTTCAAAACTTTTGCAAATTGCCATGCATTTGCAGCTGAAAATGTTGCAAATATAATATGGTTCAATGGGACAGCTGTAGACAATTTATTGTGGCTTCAAAACATAGTTTAGGAACCATTGATAGAAACCATCTGCTTGCCTGAAATTCTATGTAATTGACTCCTTTTACTTCTTCTCTAGAAAGTGTTTTATCATGTGGTTGTGACATTAAAATCAAATGAGTTTTATGAGAAGAGCAAACTTTCAAAGTTTTATTCTGCTTTTCTTAAAGGAGAACTCTAAACTTTAGAATTCCACTTCCATTTAAAATGACACCTATACATTTACCGGTGATACAAAATTTCTGGCAACTTTACAGGATGATACATATTTGTGCATATTAAG